AGTATCGCCATTTTTGCAGCTAACCATATATTTTGTTTTATCCACGTTTATTTCGAGTCCTAGTTCTTTACCGGCTTTCATTAACGTTGTCGTATTTAGTTTTATAGTTTCAACTTCTTCGCTTAACAGTACCAGATCATCAGCATAGCCCAGCACGGATGTTGTCCCGCCCAGATCCAACCCTTTCTCGGTTCGCATTACCTCCCTAATGGCATGTTCTAATGCCAAATTGAACAGGACAGGCGAAAGAGAATCCCCCTGTTTTAAGCCCGAACGAACCTCAAATTTTTCGGACAAATTATTACCGATTCTAACTTTATTGAGTGTCTCCGTCAAGCACATCCTGACTAGATTTACTAGTTTTTTTGGAATCCCCTGCTCGATTAGAATATTATACAGTTTCTGGCGGTCAATAGAATCGTAAGCCTTTTTAAAATCTATATACAGCTGGTGAACAATGCCGTTATACTCCAATTTTTTCTCTAATATTTGCCGTAAAGAAAATATTTGATCAATAGTCGAACGATTCCGTCTAAATCCGCATTGGTAGTCTCCGATAATTTCCTCGGCGTATTCCGTGATTCGACTGGTTAAGATTAAAGTGAATATTTTATAACATACCGGAAGGAGTGAAATTCCTCGATAGTTATTACAATCCGTCCTCGGACCCTTTTTGTGAATCGGAATAAGAATAGATTCTTTCCATTCTTCAGGTAATTTCTCGTTCACCCAGATCTTTTTAACCAACCGATGTATTTTAGAAACTCCAGCTTCCCCGCATGCCTTAATTAGTTCAGTAGGAATATTATCGATTCCCGCTGCTTTATATGATTTTAATTTTCCGATAGCTACTTCAACTTCCTCTTTACTTGGTCCTTCTATTAATGGTTCAGCACTCTGGTACTCAGAAGGAGGACACAGATCATAATTTCCCGTATTTAAAATATTGTCAAAGTGGTCCTTAAACTTATTTAATATGTCAACCGGATCGGTCAGAATATTGTTATTATCATCCCTAATTCCAGACGTTACGGGCCCTACATATTTACGTGATCTGTTTATACCTTTGTACATGTCTCTTACGTTATTTTCGATTCTATTAGTTTCTATTTCAATTATTTTATTTTTAAGATACTCCCTTTTTTTATTTTTAAGCAATTTTGTCGTTTCGTTCTTTGAGATTCGGAAGTATTCCAGATTGTCTTCGCTAGGATTATTTAGAGCTTTTAATTTAGCGGCTTTTCTTTTTTCACACATGTTTAAGCAATCTTCATCAAACCACGGTTTGTTATTCTTATTTTCCTTTTTTCCTAGACACGAGTTACCGACCGCTTTAATATTATCCCTGATCTCTATCCATAACTTGTCAATATCCTCGTGGTCCTCGTCAGGAAGCTCTAAAGATTCAAACCTATTCTTAACATCTAGCTCGAATTGGTTTCTAATTGATGGATTTTTCAATTTTTCCAAATTAAAATTCTCAAAATCGAAACGGTTTTCTTTTCTCTTTTTTATATTAAGTTTTTGTCGAAGTTTCGCGATTACTAATTCATGATCCGACCCACATTCTGCTCCGCGATAAGACCGTACATTAATTATACTGCTTTGCCAGCTATGTTGTATCAAGACATGATCGATTTGATTTCGTGTTTGCGAATCCGGTGATGTCCAAGTATATTTATGAATATCCTTGTGTTTAAACGTCGTACTTTTAATTATCAGGTTTTTCGAGATGGCAAAGTTTATCAGACGGATCCCATTATCATTACTATATTCGTGCAAACTTTCTTTACCAATCGTCGGAATATAAACTTCTTCCCTTCCTACCTTTGCGTTCGCGTCACCTACAATTATTTTCATGTAGTTTCGCGGTAGTTTATCATAAACCCATTCGAGTTTATCGTAAAATTCACTTTTGACTTCATCGTCACTGTCTTCGGTCGGACAATGTATGTTTATTAATGCGATTTTAAACCAACGTCCCTGAAATGTAGCTACCGAAATTCTATCACTAAAGAATTGTACGTCCCTCAAAGCGGATAGTAATCTACTCCTAATTAGAAACCCGGTACCCAAACAATGATTCCCGCTTCCTCCGTACCAAATAGTGTACTTTCCTTCCCTCATCGAGCCCTCCCCTGGCCAACGAACCTCTTGCAGAGCCACGACATCCAAATTGTATCCATTTACCTCATTCGTGACCGATTTTAGCCCCCCTGCTGTGTTTAAACTCCTTACGTTCCACGTACCAATATTTAAATCCCTATATTTCAACTTGCACCATGAATCCCCTAAAGCAGTCCCCACCCGGAGACCCGAACGGGGGACTAGTTTACCTCCGGATAATGAGCGTTTTACCTTAGGGAGATCCATGACTTTTTGTGGTGTTTGGTGAACTAAAGATATGTGAGTAGGGCGTTCAATCCTACGTCACACCCTCCAGCAAGTCTGGTGGGCCCCTACCTCCAGCAAGTCTGGAGGTCCCCTCCCTCCAGCAAGTCTGGAGGGCCCCTCTCATTGTTGGTCAGCGAGTCCATCGGACTTAGCCGGGAGGAACTTCCAAGGAATTTCCACCGACCATCCCCACATCCGCCACCCGTGGGACGCTCCCCATACGCGGTAATGAGCCCGCGCGAGGTATAGATAGATAGATAGATGTAAATTATTCAGTTAAGGAACTTTGACCACCATTTTATGGCAAAATACTAAAAGAAGCAAAAAACTGAAATAAACTTTTTTTATCATATATATATATATATATATATATATATACTTTTATATATATAGACTTTTCTTATCATATATATATATATATATATATATATATATATATATATATATATATATATATAATATATATATATATATATATATATATATATATATATATATATATATATATATATATATATGATAAGAAAAGTTTATTTCAGTTTTTTGCTTCTTTTAGTATTTTGCCATAAAATGGTGGTACCTAAGCGAAAAAATATATAGGCTTAGATCAAATTGATATTGGACGATCTAAGTACCAACACTCTAATTCCCCAAAATATTTATCAAATTGAATCAACGTTAGTACCGTTAATATACTGTAACATGAACATGACTACAGAAAGATACGCAGTTTAAAAACGTCAAATTTTATGTAACTATAACATAAATATAACTTTAAATTACAAAGAGTGAACATGCTCTCTAACATTTCACAGCCATCATATCCCTCATACTAGAGTACATTAATTTTAATTGTTAAATAGAATTTGATGAAATTGATAATAAACCATTTAAACACCGTTTCCTGAATTTCAATCAATTTGGGATTAAACGGGCGATTTTTTTTTTAAACATGATTGTATTATGGAAAAACCATTTACACATATCTCTTTTTTTTCTGTTCTCCCCTACCTCGGCTTTTAGGCTATACGAGATTTTCCCGAGCCGGAGGGTGAGGGTGGGGAATTTAAAATCCCCTGTGGCACCGGGATGCGAACTCGTGCTTTTTTAATATTATAACTTCGGTTAGCCCATCTATAGCCCAAATCCATAACCCATAGTCCTATCCACTTGATTAATTCTTGATTCTTTCACTCATCCCAAAATTCCCACTAACATTGAACCAAATCTCACGTTGGTCTACAACGACCAACATGTCAAATATGTGACAATACTAACCTGACTGTAGAATATATATTTAAATGTAAAAAAATACAGTATACAATTACTAGAAATATACATTGAAAACATAATTCCATACAAAGAACGGAAGGGAATTGAAAAAACTCTCAAGTTTATTAAACAAATAAAAGTAATGAATTATATTTAAGAAGAACGATCGTCGCTAATGGCCATGACGGTCGAAGCAACATTAAAAAACAGCAAATAAAAAAAAAATCGCTAAATATAGACAAATCAATGAAAATATATTTACGCACGCGTAAGCCAAAGGCATTAGATAAATCAATATAACCTAACTTTTTTAATTAATCCCAACTTTCCTCCTATTTTGATCCGAATTGAATTCAGTCTAAAATGTTACAACCTTGCATATATCGATTGTGCAAATTTAATCTGTATTTTCATATGCACATTATTATTAAATTTTACAGCTATCATATTCAAAACAATTAGGTTCATTAATTTTAATTGTTGAACGGAATTTGACTAAATTGATTCCAGACCATTTGCGAACAATTGTACAAATTACCTCTAACTTTGACCGATTCAAAGAGGTCATTTTATAAAAATGAGAGAAGTAAGGAAAATACGTTTGCACATCCAGCCACCACCACAATGCCGACACTGCAATAATACACTTACAGTCAGTTGCATTTTACAGATCGGAGATTCAATCTCGTAAAGATTGGATACGATAGGAATTCGATGGTTTAGCGGAGCCCCAATGGTCAACTCCGTAAGTCCAATATGTCTTATTATGGTCATGTATATGAGTATTGTGTAATTAATTGGAAGGTTAGAACGTTTGTCTAGCAAGTGCTGAAGTAGTCTGAAACGTCGAGCGGTTTCTTGTCGTTTCAGTCTGATATGAGGACGTTTTTCCAGGTGGATTCTTAGGATAAATAACTTAAAAAGCAAAAAGAACCGACTATTTCTGATATTCAAGGATTGGGAAGAAACTGGATTTTTTATTAAATAGAGCACTTCAGTACATTGTACTTCCACACCAAAGTGTATTTGTATTTATTTGACATGGAGAGGTGAATCCTGAAAGAATAAAGCCTGAAACGTATAGTAAAATTTTTATACTATAAACACTATATTTAGGAAAATAGAGAACGATTCTAATCTTTAAAATTTGTCATTATATTATAATATATTATTATAATTATTATATAAAGACTACATTTGAAATATATTTAAAATATTCCATAGAAATAAATAGACTATAAATAAAACCAAATAAGGTTTTAGTCAATTTATTTACTTAGGCCAACGGCAGGTTAGTTCTTTAAAGGGCCTCGGGCTGGTAGTACACTTCCGACTAATGGATGTCATAAAGATCAGGAAGGACTACAAACCTTGGGACAAAACCCTTGAAAGGTGAATCAGGAGTGGTGCGGCAGTCACCTGGGAATCTGGAAAACTGGAAAAAACACAGTTCAAGGAAGGACTCTGAAAGGAGTCTCAGATAAACAGTCGAGGAGAAGTAGTTGAGTGGAGACAACTGAGAATAGACAAGCAGGTTGGAGAAGAAAGGACCCCTAGAGAATCCAGCGATACCCCACACCATGAAGAAACAACAGCTATGTTATAACATCCAGTTAGTATTACATGTGTAAAGTTGTGCTGGCAGTCAATAGCAATAATAAAATCAATAGATCATTAGTAACTTTAATAACTGTTATTAAAAATAGCATTCTCCTATAATATAATTATTGCACATAAATGTTTTTGTTTAGTTAAATTAATAAATAGATTAATTATATTGAATCTTGATATTTTAACAATTTATCATGCATGCTTCCAGTTAGGTATAGATGCAATTAGGAAATGTTTAAACACGACGCCTTTTGAAAAGATAGGAAAAAGAATTATATTATTCAATCTAGGATTTTACAGTAGTTGGTCTGTGGTATCTAACCTTAAAATACATTATTCATATATTTTTATATAGATTGGTTCCCTCCTGGAACCGATATAAATATAAATGTTAAAAACATTAATTAGAAATAAATGCGGTTCCTGGAATCCCTTACAAGCCATAAAAACGCGCAGTCCAGGAACATAGCAATATGTATTTTGTTTGAAGGGAATATTTCTGAAAAACAAGGAGATATAGTGTTAAAACAATCCACTGTAAATTGCAAAGGGCTAACACACCAATATATAAATCATTAAACAAATTGGAAAAGCTTCTGGAACAGTGATTTGGGTTCACGGTCATTTTGGAATTCCTAGAAAGGATGAAGTAGATAAAGCTCCGCAGAATCCCATTTACTGGAAAAGATGACCCTTCTGTATTTACACAGTGAGCCACACATTTGAGGAATGTACTCGGTACGGAAAAGCAATGAAAAAGTATGGTGTACCTCGGTAATAGTTTACTGATGTACAAAGTGTGTTACTTGAAAAATACAATTATTTGAATTGAAAAGAGTTTGGAAGGCAAAGAGATAGTCATAAGTAGTACTGAAAACAAAGATGTAATATAGCTGCATGAAGATAACTGGAAAAATAGCCCAAGATAGACAGAGATGGGAAAGGTTGATTGAGACGGAAAAAATCAAAAATGTCTGTAATGCCAAAAGAAAAAAAAAAAAAAAAAAGTAAAATCAAAACCGGGCTTGGATATCTTTTAGAATCGTCGTATATTCAGGTACACATGCACTTCAAAGGTCACCTAACTTTTAATTCAGAACTCCATTGCTGTTGAAGACTGGACATGATATTCCCCTCACCTTTGCAATCCACTCTCCACGCAGTACTTTTTCTAAATTGCTGAAGCTTTGACCTTAAAGTCATCAGGTATAACTAGATCCCTTCTCCTCAAGCCTCCTTTCTACGATGTAAGTTAGACTTATAAGGGCAAACGTTTTTTTCTAGATATGTCTATATCTCTAAAACCGCAAGTTTGATTTGGCTCAAATCTGGAGGGAATTTAAGGATTGGTAAACTTAAATGAAATAGGCATCAATTTCATCAAACTCTATCTAATACTTAAAAAAAAAAAAAATACTTCCACTTTCAGATCAGGAAATGTGTTATTTGATATGCCTGTAAATTTCGTGTAATTTTCAGAAAATTCAAACTAATTTTTACTCCGAATATGTAAAAAAAAAAAGAAGTCTTATTTGTGATCGTGTTTATTTCCATTAAAGTTCAACCAGCTCGTCGTAGTCTCGATTTTCTCCTTAAATATCCTTAAAATTGGATCAACTTCACTCATATTTTATATTCCAACTCTTTGTTTTGTTTTGACTGAAGAAAAGTATTGGGCTCGTTAACTTCGAACAAACAAAAAGTTGAATATTTCCTATGAATTTTTCATTCCATCCATTTTACGAGTTAAAACATAGCTATTAAGTATATAACACTACTGGTAGTGCAAAGGTCGTAAGTAAACGTTTTCAATTTTTATTCTATTTTTGACATTATGTAGTCTGCGATTGATATAAGTAGTGTACTACTATGAAAAATAGCAGAGGGCCATAAAATATATAATTACACTAATAAAGCATAAAGAAATAATTAGTTTTTATGCTCTCCTGTAAAACACTAAATTTTTACATAAGACCTTTACACTAACAGTAGCGAAATACATATTCAGTATACATTGGAATTTGTTTTTTAATTACGTATTATCAAATATGCATTCTGCAAATGCGGAAATATTTCGCATTTTAGTATTTTCTGATAAACAAAACTCGTGGATATCAAGCCCGTATATGTTGAGGGATTACTGAATTTCCGAAAACGGCTTCTTCCAGAGATTTTATTCTCATAGTAAAATTTTTAGACCTTTTAATATAGACATTTCTTAGCAAATGAAAACGGTGAGGAAGCTAAACTGACCTTACTTAGCTAAAAATAACGTTTTTTTATTCATTATTTGTACTTTTCTATTATTATTTAGTGGTTATTTTGCTACTGTTTATTTTATATTTTCTGTATGTAGATATATATATACAATATTTCTCACTTCTTCTTCGGTGCATACTATTTATTTTCAAGTTAATTTATTATTAGCCATATTTACACCAATTTAAAAAAAAAAAAAATTGTCACTTAATGACTACTCATCACAATGACGACGTTTCGGCTCGTCGAGCCATTTTCAAGTCTAAAAAAATTTTCATTTACAATCATATATTAACTTTAACATATTTCAAATTATAAAGATTCTTATTATGTACCTAAAATACCCATCATGTACCTGTCCTTTTCACTTATGCGAATTGCAAGCGTCTACTCATAATAAAATTCCCTATTATTGTCATGTTCACCTTTAATTATTTTACAACATTATTATTACTCCATTCTTTACTATTAAATGATTTAAATAAGTTAAAATTACCTTGTTTCTGAGTCACCCACATGTCATCCATCTCATATCTATTCAGTGAGTAGACGCTTGCAATTCGCATAAGTGAAAAGGACAGGTACATGATGGGTATTTTAATTACATAATAAGAATCTTTATAATTTGAAATATGTTAAAGTTAATATACGATTGTAAATGAAAATTTTTTTAAACTTGAAAATGGCTCGACGAGCCGAAACATCGTCATTGTGATGAGTAGTCATTAAGTGACAATTTTTTTTTAAAAAATTGGTGTAAATATGGCTAATAATAAATTATAATTGGTAATTGGTTGACTGTCGTGGATAATGAAGAGAAGAATAGTTGGGGTGCTCAGTCAAAAAAGGAAGGCAAAAAATAAATTATAATATTTATTTTTTACATATGCCGACGTTTCGACCTGAAGTTCAGGCCTTCATCAGGGCTGAGAAAAATAACCAGATAACAAGGTATGAGAAACATAAGTAATGATGGTAAAAAAGATAATAAAAATTGAGAAAATAAAATAGATTAGATCTAGATAAAATAGATCTAAATAAAATATTAGAAAAATAAAATAGATAGAAAGATATTCATTTTACTTTATATCTATCTATTTTATTTTTCTAATATTTTATTTAGATCTATTTTATCTAGATCTAATCTATTTTATTTTCTCAATTTTTATTATCTTTTTTACCATCATTACTTATGTTTCTCATACCTTGTTATCTGGTTATTTTTCTTAGCCCTGATGAAGGCCTGAACTTCAGGTCGAAACGTCGGCATATGTAAAAAATAAATATTATAATTTATTTTTTGCCTTCCTTTTTTGACTGAGCACCCCAACTATTCTTCTCTTCATTAATAATAAATTAACTTCAAAATATATATATATATATATATATATATATACATATATTGTATGTAGAATCGTAACTCTTTATAACTATTGTCAATGTAACAGAATTTTATAATACTCAATAAAAAAAAATGTAAATATGCCCAACACGTAACATTTTGAATATTATAATGTAATTAGATAAAATTTAGGAAAGTATTTATTTGTTTCCATGGTTTTGGCAGTGATCCAATATTTAATCTATGATTAATTAATTAAAAAAACAATCTAATATTCCAATTATAATGAGTAACATAATAAAAGATATAAATTACATATAAATATAATTTTTTTGGCATTTGATATACATTTCATCAAATAGATTCATTATCCAGACTACCTAAGGAACGTGCATATATGCATTTTATAAATATCAAGGAACAAATTTCGTTCTGTGCCTGTCTGTAATCAAATTTATGTCACAGAAATAACGCCTGCAATTGTTAATCCGATTTTGATGGAATTTTCTGGAATTGTGCGGGTTAGTATCTATCGTTATTGGCATCATATCGTTTTCATCGAATATCATCAACAAATTTTGCTTACGTATTACGCATACGTAAACATATTGTAGTTAACACACTTATATTTTAAATATGACTTGTCATATTTGGCTCAAACGAAAAATAGGTAATATGATGGTAATGGTCAACTATACACATATACACACAGGGTTTCTAGTAGAGGGAAATATGAAAAGGAATAAATAATGTTCTGATTTTCAGCAGGGAAGCAGAAAATTAAAGTTTTGTGTTTTTTTAAGTAAAAAACTATTTAGTTTCAGTAATTAACAATTACTACACTATAAAATACTTAAAATTGTCTTTAAAGGAAAATAGTGTTTCTCATTGATAAAATCATTTAAACAGGACTTTTGAACAGCTAAACGCAGCTATGCTCTGTTTTTTAAAAAATCATAAATTGTTCGCGATTTTATTTTATCACCCTCTAAATATATTACAGATGCCCAAATCACTTTTAGAAAAACTTTCTCGTTTATTAAGTTTAAATTCCATGTTAATGAAGCTGAGGTTTATTAGGAAAGCATTTCAGATATGTAGTTGTATATAAAAGTTATATATGATTTTATAACAACTTTTATGAGATTTTGTTTTATTATGTGATTTTGTCATCCATAAAGTATATTCAACAAAAATGGCCAAATTAAATTGTTACAAAGCTTTTATTTTTTGTTTTATTCCATAATCTTGGATGTATTATTATGAACATAATTGTTTAGTTACATTTTTTATTTGATAAAAAAAAAATTTAAAAATAATGATTTTCAAATATTTTTCATGCAAATGGAAACTATGTACTTCACCCAGATCTCTATTATAGGAATTGATGCAGATTCATAAATTATAAACTAAATGCCCTCATAAATCCTATTATTTATGTTTTTATAAAAATAATTAAAGCTAAAAGCATTGTTTTTTTATTTTAGTTTATTGCTTTTAATAACAATCCTTTATAATCCTCCAAGAAAAAATTATTTGACATTTCAAAATTTCAAGATTTGTATAACTGAAAATCGAATAGTTAAGAAAATCTCTTCCGCATTCAACGGATTTTCAGGAGAAAACTTGGACGATTGTTATTTATGATTAAGCAGCGAAGTCCCATGATCACCTCGGCCTTTATATTTTGTAAAATGGTGGCCAATTAAAGGTTTCATAATCGGAACTTTAATAAGCTGGAAGAAAATATAAAATATTTGGCAATCATTTTACCGAAAATAAATAACAAAACAATCATTGTGTAATAATTTGTAGTGTTTTAAAAATAATCATTTAAATTACTTTTCTTCTTCTTGAAATAACATTAATCAGATTGAAGGAAATTGAACAAAATAAGGTAATAATTGTTAATTAATTTCAATTCAATTATAACTAAGTAGATAATTGCGGTCTTACTATCTTATCATTATTTCATTATAATTACTCATAGTGAGTAATTTCTTTCTTTCAGCTGAAAAAATAGTTAATTATTTTAAAATTAGCAGTATAACTTGTTATTGTAATCAAATGATGTTTAAAAAAAATGTAAATAATATTCTGAAACGAAGAGAAAATTATCCTCTTAGCGCTAAATAAAAAATGTAACTTGACCTTAAAGCAAACGTAGAAGGAAGACTTTATAAAACCGACAAGGTTGAAGATAATTCTTGCAGAATATGCTCCTTTGCAGATTCGCATCGGAATCAGTTAGTCAGAAGCGAGGAGCATGGCCAATCCAGTCTGCATCTATAAATGTCTCAAAAGAGATTGGATGTTTGCCAAACACGCTTTTCTGTTGACAAACTAGCTTATTCCCTCAGCAATCTAAGATTGCACTTTGATTACTGCGGACTGAATAATTAATTAAACTGCCCTCTGTGATATTTATCCCTAATCAACTATTTTCAGATTTTTTTTTTTAAATATCGTTAGTTGAGTCGGTTCCGAGAAAATGGTCAAAAAGGTTAAAATCAGTAATATAATGTGGTATATCCTGGAGTTTAATGTTTTAAAATTAAATGCAAGGATCTCAGAGTGTGGTTAAAATTCCTAACTGTGCCAG